ATGGAATGTGCCCACTGCAGCCAAAGAGAGGAATACAAATAATCAGAATGGAATGAAAGATAATAAATAAAGATTAATATTGGTGTTTAGCAGGATAATGATAGCTTGCCTTAAGGTCCTGCAGGGTTATTGAATGAGTATTTTGTTTTTAATTACTCCATTACAGCATCTCACTTTAATGAAAGGATATGCCAGGAAAGCAGTACTCATGCCTTAGAATTTCCTGAGATCATTAGGCCTTTCAACAACATCAACAGTGATATATCCTCACTCCTACTCCCATCACTGGTATCCAGGTAATCCTAGACTTTTATTTAATGACTAGCTTGCCATGCTATGGGGTGCTGGTAAGCAGAAAATCAGACATATGGTCACGTTTTGGAAAAGTGCTCTTGATCTCAGTTTGTGCCCCAGGCTTTGTAAGACTGAAAGCAGAGACTTTGGCAGCATTTTCTTCAGATGTTTCTCAGCAGAATAAAAGAGAGACAGGATCCAGGTAAGAGGCCAAAGTGTGGTAACTGGAGAACAGAATGAACTTAATACATACTTGAAGGAAATACAAAGTCAACAACAAGTAATCGATTGCAAACGAAAGGACGGTCAAAGGCAGATCTGGGTCTTTAACAGGAAATCCACATCAAGCGTATCACAGGCCACTAACATCTGTATAATCAGAGATCATCTGTAATATTCCAGCAATGGAGGGATGAAGAAAGGAAGGGACTAGGTTTATAAAAGGTTCTACTGATGACTGATAGAGAACCCTGTAGTCTAAGAAGATAAAATACCTTAAACCTCAGAACTCCTGATTTGATTATATGAGTGACTATAATATAACTGGACCAATCCTATAATGAATTGGGTGTAAGTAGACCCTGGTATAGGTAAATAAGCAACCATTCATTACGTGGTATATGCATAATATACCAAAGAACATTTTTGGTTGATATTTGAATGATATTTGCCTACAAAGGACTCAAAATGTATAGAAACAGTAGTAAAGGGTCAGCGCTGATAGAACAAACTGGGAAAAGTGAAGTTAAGGCAGCTTTTTTTTGCATTAAAACACTTATTGTACTGCGCCAGCGGGAAGTAGGGGAACACTGTCCCTTTTGCATATTTAGCCATGAAGCACCATTAACTTTCGCTCCAATGTTGCTCGAGTCCTGAATCTATGCTACTGATGGTCCAGTGAACTCAGCAAGAACAGAGCAGGGCCTGACCCGACATCATGCAACATGAACAGCTAAAAAAAAACTGCACTTATGGATATCCGTTTGTCTAATATTTGTGAAATGTTCTTACTTCTTCCACTATTACAACATACAAGATTTCTTTGATTATCTAAATTGTTGCAACAGTCATATTTTAATAATTTTGCTTGTAAATTAAACTGAACATTGGGAACATCTAAA